TTGTGTCGCTCAGTGGGGAGCCCTGGCTAAACTTGTTAACCAGTATTTCTGACTATCTCTCATCATGCATCTACCAGAGACATATGTTTGCATGCTACCTGGCACTCTAATGAATAATGACCTTTTATGAAAGGTTGTATTTAAATAGATATTATTGGTATTAGAAGGTAGTATATCATAAGGTAGAGCTCTTAAGAGTTCTGTATCAAAAAATAAGTATTACTGTACATTTATTGTGTTTAAGACACTGGCCCAGGCATCAGAAAATATGACCATTGCCTTTAGGAAACTAAAAATCTAGCTTCAGAGATATGGACACACATGTAAAGAATGAAAAGTTATTGTTAATTTATTAAATATATACTATGTGCCAACCTCTATCCAAACCATCTAAAAATATAATAGTTACTAAAATAAAGACCATAGAATTATATGAGTAGGTAATAATAATGTCCTGAGAAACAGTTTAACTGGTTATTTGGAAGTGAATTGTGTGAATATCAACACAAATGTGTAATTAAGAAATTCAGCATATGGACATATATGTATATTCAACAAAAATATAATAAAATAGTCCTGGGACAAGTACATTAAAAAAAACTACTCCTTGGCTTCATATTATAGTGAGTTCTCAGTCATGTAATTTCATTCTTCATTTTTAATAATGAAATATTTAAGGTTATGAATTTACTTTTGAATATTGTACTCAAATAAGTCATAATCTCATTTTTGTTGTTTTTCATTAGTCTGCTAGAATTTATTTGGGATAACACATGTATAAATGTGTTCTTAAATATTCAAGCAGTTGAAATCTTTTGTTTAATTTGAAAAAGACTTACATTATCATCTGAGAACAGCACAAGTATAATTTCCATTTATAAGAGTTTTCAAAGGTTTTCTTCATGGCATACCACATGATGATTAAAAAAAATATTCTCTGGCCCTGGCTGGTATGGTTCAGAGGACTGAGTGCCGACTTGTGAACCAAAGGGTCACTGGTTCAATTCCCAGCCCTGGTAGCAGGGTGTGTGAGAGGCAACCACACACTGATGTTTCTCTCCCTCTTTCTCTCTCTCCCATGCCTCTAAAAAATTAATAAATAAAATCTTTCAAAAACAGTCTCAAAATTTCTCTAAATGTTCTCTGAAAAAATGTTCTCAGAAAAGAGGGTGTATTCACTGTCTATAAAATATTTTTGATATTTATTAATTAGATCCAATGAATTATGTTTTTCAAATATTCTAAGTAGTTATTTTTTGGTCTACTTCATCTATCATAGTTAAATTACATGGAAGTCTCCCATAGAGACATTTCTATAATTTTCTTCTTGTATTAAAGTTTTTTTCTTTACATATTTGAATGCCTTTTTTTTACAAAAAAAATAGTCTATGACTACAATATCTTCAATGTAGTTTATATCATTATAAAATAAATTTCTTGGAACCAACATGATTACATGGTTACTGTTCCTGCTTTTTTTTTTTTTCAAATAGGTGACATGATCAGATGACTTATTTGGAGAATAGATTGAATGGGAGAAGGTGAGACCAAAATATAAGAAACCAGAAATCGTGAGTGACTGAACTAAGAGAAAAGCTACAGAGAGGTTTTTAGGGGACTGGTTTGAAGGGGATTGGGTTGATGGGAACTGGGGCAAGTGAGAAGAGTTGAAGGTTAACACTTAGATTTCTGCCTTATTTGACCATTATGTAAAAGGAAATATAGGGGGAATATCTGGGTTGGCCTTTTGAATAAGTCATTTTTTAAAGTTCCATTTTTTTGTATATTCATTCCAAAGGATTCAAGCCCAGACCTAATGCTAAGTGTTGAATTTTTGTCAGTTGATTACATACTCAAACCAAAGTCTTTCTACCTTATTCTAAAGCACTAGGATAAATATTAAATTTTAGTGAGAACACATTTATTTTATGTGCTAAGAGCTCTTTCATAAATTTGAGGAACAATTTACACTAACGAGGAAGGAATAACTGTTCTTCCTATACTATCCCCAGGGTAATTGATAGGTGAAGGTTATATTTTCCACAAGGGGGCAGCATCATCTAATAAGCCTCCACTAGGGGCTGAGAAGAGGAGGCTGAAAGGGGAGACAACATAGGTTCAGGGAGCCATAGGACCGGCCACACCAACAAAACCAATGGGTCCTACTATCTCCAAGTCCGTAATTAAGTGACTGGTAGTAGCGGATGTTGCTACAGGAGGGAGAAAGAGGATATGGAGTTTAACAAGGAAAGATGAGTGGGTGACACACCTGACCATTCCCATTATTATGACTGGTTCAGAAACCACCTTGGATAGTGTCTACATTTCCTATAAGTGCTGGTACTTCTGTTTTCTCTGTATAATCAGTATCTCATAGGGACCTTATTTCCTATTCAGGTTTTTGTCACCCCTAAATGGTTTCCCAGCTAGTCGTGTTCTCTGAAGGTTAGGTTGCAAAGCACACTCCAGTTCTGATGCTCTCCTTATTTAATATTTGGTTACCCCGATTATGCTTTTATGCCCTAGGGAAAGGAGTGAGACTGAAATTCATTGAAAGCTCATTATGTGAAAGGTATTTTACATAAATTGCCTCATAATCAACACAACGTCATTATAGAAAAAATATTATTTCCCATATGACAGAACTAGGAAGTAACAAACATGGGTCTATCTGACTCCAAAACAAAAACTCTTCCAAATCTACCATGCTACCCCCCCACAAAGCCTTATTTAAAACCTAAATCTTGACCAATTCAAGATTGAGTCAGTGACAATGTATCTATTGTATAAGGCATTGTTTTAACACATTACCACCTATCAAGATACAAGGCAGGCATGGCTTAATACTAGGTGCCAGGAAGTAATATAATAAATGACTGGGATCCTATATAACTTACTAACAAAACCCTTTCACCTCAAGTATTCTTTCCTCAGGATAAATCATTTGGATGTATGTAGCGCATGAGCACAATGGAAAAAGTAAAGATAGCTTCTGTGTTTCTGGTTTGGTTGACTGAAGGCATGGTGGTCTCAGTCACTGTAATAAGGACTTTGGAAAGATACCATTTTAGGTTTTGAACATATTGTGCTTGAAATGCTTCTGAGACATCTAAGTATGTCCAATAGGAAGTTGGTTATATGAGTCTGGGACACAAGTGATATACTTATCCACATACTGATAGTAATTGAAGCTCTGGAGTGGGGTGATATTTTTCCATGATATATTAATGAAGTTAGGAAGGGTGAAACTTGGGATGGTCAATATTTATGGAATGGTCAAAGGAAGAGCAGGTAGAAATCTGGTTTTAAAAACATAAACAGAGAGGTAAGAAAAGGACAAGTAAATGGGTATCTTGAAAGCAAGAAAGGAAAGTTTCACAAAGGTGAGCAGAATCCATTGACTTTGACAGTTAGGTAATATGTAGCTTTTGACAGAGTAGTTTCAGTGGAGTTATAAAGGTCAAATTTACACTGTAGTGAGTAGAAAGTGAAATGGTAAGTGAAGAAGTGGAGACAGTGATTATAGAATATCCTTTAGAAAGACCAAGTATCACTGAAATAGAGAACAAGGGGATAGTGACCAGAGGGGAGAAGGAAGGGAAGTTAAGGGGAATAAGGGGGAGGGATTTGGAGGAACAAATAGGAAGGACACAGGGATGAGAACTAAGGGGGGTGGAAATGGGAGGGAGGTGGGGAGCAAGGGGCGGGGGAGGCTGGGATGGGAAAAAATAGACAAAAAACTGTACTTGAAAAATAACTAAATAAAATTTTTAAAAAACACACACACAAAAAAAAAGAAAGACCAAGTATAAGCATAAGAAAGAGAAGATGGGGTAGCAGCCAGAAGGAGAAATATAATTATAAAAAAGACACTTTAAATTCTTTTTTCTAATAAAAATAATTAAGATGGAGCCCTGGCTGGTATAGCTCAGTGGATTGAGTCCAGGCCTGAGAACCAGAGGATCATGGTTCAATTCCCAGTCAGGGCACATGCCTGGGTTGCAGGCCAGTTCCCAGCAGGGGACTCATGAGAGGCAACCATACATTGATATTTCTCCCCCTCTCTCCTACCCTTCCCCTCTAAAGATAAATAAAATATTTTTAAAAATAATTAAGATGGAGAAACTTAGGCATGTGCATAGGAAACAAACTAATAGACATGAAAAAGTATAAGCTCCAGTAGTACAGAGCAAAGATGTAGCAGCCATTTGGAAAGCTCACCGGTAGACACATGTTTAGCAGCATCAGAATGATAATGTCCCAAAATGCTCTTACCTTACTTTTGCTTATGCTACTCACCTTACCTGGAATGCCTCTTTCCTTCTGACTGTTTATTTGTCAAATTCTACACAACCTTTGGCTCAAATTCCACCTCCTCTATGAAGTCTTAGCCTATCAATCTCTTCTGGTGTTCTTTTTCTCTTGAACTCCAATAGCAATATCTGTTTGGACAATCCATTGACAACCACCCTTTACCCTGCAAAATCTCCTTAACTGCTTTCTTCAAAAGTGTATTGCTAACTATTTTGTCACATGTGTGTCTTTTCTCCCCTGCTAGACTATACACTCTTCAAGGGCAGGGTTTCTATACTAGAGTTTGCCACAGCCCCCAGAATGCCTACCATGGAAGGTAGAAGGATCTCTTTAAAGGTTGAGTAGTGGTAGCCTGTTATGAAGGAGAAGACAAAAAAACACTGGGTTAGGTAGGCCCTTGGCATGTATTGAGTTATTTCATTCTCTCAATAGCAAATAAGGAGACCAAATCTTGCAGAGGTAAAATAAATTTATCTAAGCGACACAGATAGTATGTGACAATATCAGGATTTGAACCTAAGGCCCTTTATCCTATGCCTTCTGCTTCAGTGGTCTGCAGAATTCTGTTCATCGAAAACACCTCTTTCCTTGGTGGTACTGACAGAGATATGACTCTATTGAGACTACTACCAACCAAGTGGTTTTGGCAACCCCTGCACCTTGCAGGAAATCTCCTTGTATCTTACCTCCTGACAATCAGCTTGAGGATCCGGAAGGAGCCTTTGATGAGGATGAGAGCCTCTTGGCGGGAGCCATACAACGGCGTGCCATTGATATTCACCAGCTCATCACCAGTCCTCATCTTCTGGGACAAGGCTGCCTTGCCCCCATCTTCAATCTGTGTTGCAGAGAACAAAAAGTAGAAACAGGTGGTGAAGCAACTCTTTCCCCAAAATTCTACTCCCTGGCTCTCCCCAACCTCTGAGCCACAACTAGTACTGGGCAGGGGTGGGGTGGGTAGGTGAGGAATGGCTCCAGGAAGCTCCAGGCAGCAGCTAACAAGCTGATCACAGGCCATTATTTACAGAAGGCAAAGCTTGGGCAACCCCTTTGAGGAAGGAGGCAACACAGTAATAGTACAGTCATCTGGGTAGACAAACACTTCTAAAAACAAAAATGATGCTTGGAAGGAACCCTACAATATGGGCTAAAGTAACAGAATGACATAGCAAAATGTGCATGTAAATCAGAGCCAGAAGATCTAGGCTCTAGAAAAATCACCTTTGGCAAGTCTTTTCCTTATCTTTGAACACACTTTGAACTCTGGCAAACTTGAGTTTGGATCTTGGGTTGAGTACTTCCCAGCTGTGAAACCGTGAGCAAGTTACTTAATATTTCTGTGTCTCGAGGATCTGGTAAGTGAAATATAGATAACAAGAATACCTACCTCACAAAGTTGTTAGTATATGACAGGTCTGGGAGCAGTGAATCCTCAATAAATGTGAGAGCTCTGATTAGTATAGCAAGGGGGTTGACTTTGAAGGTGGCTTCCAGCTCAATATTCTGTGAGTGGAATTGCAAATTCAAAAGATACAAAGTATGCACAAAGTAATTGATCATTTATCTGTGTCTCTTCAACAAGTACCTAGCACAGTGCTTCCAGTGTCTGGCACATAGTGGGCATTTACCAAAAGCTGGGAACCTGGATGTTCACCATTCCACTATAGCCTATAGAATTTATATTGGCCAGGACAATCTTGGCAAGAAGTTATTCAGTTTCAATTGAGCAGGACAATCTTGGCAAGCAGGGGTGGAAGAGCATTGAAAGCAATGTCGTAAATATTATCCACTGGGGTATGCAAAAAAAAAAAGCAGAATGTTCCCCAAGGGTCCTCATTTATGGCTACTTTCATACATAATATATTCTTTCTATCCAAAGGTGAGTTCTGCCTATTGGAACATCAGTTCCATCAGTGGTGGTAGGAGTCATCTCATCCATCCATTAATTCATTCTTCAAGTTTTTAGTGAGGTTGTACTATGCACAGGACAAGATGCTAAGTGCTAGACATACAGAAAAGAATAAAGAACACACAATTCCCAGCCTCAGGGGTGTGTTTCCAACTATAGTTTATATGTCCACAAAGATGATCAAGTAAAAAAAAAGGTCCAACCCACTGATGGAATCAGGAGGAGGTGTTTGTTGTTTCTCACAAGGGCAAGGAAGGTGAGGGTGATTAAACTACACAATCCTTAGGGAAAGGTAGATTCTAAGTGGGGTGCCTATGCACTGGTTTTCACCGCACATGTTTTTACACTTCCACTCTTGTTCCAATCTTCCTCTCAGTCTTTAATAGCATCCTTCCAATCTATCCCACACCATGGAAGTTAGAATATTGCTGAACTTTAGGTTGGCCAGCTTATGTGCAATTTGTCAGATAAGACCTGAATGTAGAAAAAAATGTTAATTCAGGTTTTTAAAAACCCCATCAAATAAATAGAAATTGTGAGTTAAATCGTAGATTGTTATTAAATTTATTGCTGCTAGTCCAACACATTTTTAGAAAGTTAACCTTTGTTTGATAAATTATAGGTTAGCCAAGCAACTTTGAATATATATACACCTTTGTTCCAGTATCTGGGCTATCACTCAAGACAAAACAAGCCAATATTGGTAAATGGGGCACAACTCTCAGCAAATTAATTAGGATCACACTCTTATTTCCATTGTCATTATCATTATTATTTCACAGTCACTGTTGCCTGCTGAAAAGAAAAAAAAGCAAAGTGCTGTACTTGAATTTCAGGAGTTCTATTTGAATGACTCACTTCTTTGGCATCCATGGAAGGCCCTCAGTCTCAGGCAGGACTTTCAACAGATACCAGCCATTTGAAAGGGCTTCATAGGCTAACAAACAACCATAAACAGGAGCCTAACTAATGAATGCTAATATATTTTTTCTGTTGGTATACGTTAGTCTTCATTCACTCTACTCATTTTTTATTCATACATCTCAATTATCCATATTACTGTTACCTATAGCAAGTCTTCCCTTCAATATGTATTGATATTAAGTACCAGTTTAGGTTAATTTAGCACTTTGTTACATGAATGAGATTCATGTTTATTCTAGGCCAGAAAATGAAAAGGGGGAACTTTTTAAAATAAAATGTTTAATTCTTGCTGTAGCAAATGCTCAGGCATTTTGCATTCTCTACTGCCAATTTGGTGGTCACTATGTCAGTCCTTTCTTAGACTACACAGGCTAACTACGTATCCCTTTGCTATTCCATGCCCTTTCTCAGCCCTCAGGATCAACCTTCTCAGGACAGAAATGGTGAGTGTAACAATAAACACTTTAGCACAAGTGTGAGGTTTTGCAGACAACAAAACAGAAAATTATGGGCACAATACTAGAGTCCAAACTAGTCCAGAGCAAGGAATGAAATTTCACTTGGCTAAAGATCTTTTGTACTGTACCCCAAACTAGTCCTTTCCCAGACATAGGACATTTACTGAGCTATACAACTGATTCCCTTTTACACCTCCTGATTTTTTGATGCTTTTAAATATTATTGTTCACTAGTCTTTCTCCTCCCCCACCTCCACATAGATTTCTGGGATCCAGCATATCTTCCATTTATTGTTTTGCCTCCTGAGAGCTAGTTCTTTAGGTCAATGGCTCAACCACACATTTGTTTATATAGAATAGGGATGTCAAACTCATTTTCACCAGGGGCCACATCAGCCCCATGGTTGCCTTCAAAGGGCCAAAATAATTTTAGGACTGTATAAATGTAACTACTTCTTAACTGTTAAGGAGTTGGAATTACATTTCATCCTTTGAAGGCAGCCACAAGGCTGATGTGGCCCCTGGTGAGAATGAGTTTGACATTCCTGATATAGAAGATAAAGTTCATTTTTCTAGCATGGAAATGGAAAAGGGAGGGGAAGGAGTCGGGAAAGGGGAGGGACAAGGGAGGGGAAGGGGTGGAGAAAGGGGAGGGAAAAGGAAAGGGAAGGGAAAAGAAGGGAAGGAAAGGAAAGGAGAAGGGGAAGGGAGGAAAGAAGAAAAGGAGGGAAAAAGATATATACACAATGGGGCAAAAGAAGGTTTACAGCTGTGAGTATGCAAATGTTTACTCTTATTATTAATTATTTTATTATTTTTCATACAAACAACTGTAAACCTACTTTTGCCTCACCCTGTATATTCTTCTCTGAAAGGTTTTGTTTTCCTTTTCTAACCAACCCACTCATAGCTCTGGCTGGACCCCAGGAAAGGTGTGAATCAACAAACTTGTTGAGATTAACATGCCCTATTTGAGGGACTGTGTAGCATTATGTTATGCTGTCCATTTAGTAAGGCTGGCTTTCCAGCTTTTCCTGAATCAGATCTTCAGGGTGGCTTTCTTGTTTCATTCAAAGTGTTGTGAATTCTCAGATTGGACCCAGATGCATTGGAATGCCAGTATAAACATGCATCACAAAGCTCAGTGTAAATGATGGTTAACCTCTGTGTCATTTTGGATTGTCCAAGTGATCACTGAGCTAGCAGTGAGTGACTCAAGTAATTGAACATCACTTATGTAAGGTCATATAACCAAAAGCCAGTGGGTATCTAAAAAGTTGGGAAGAGCTAATTAATCTTGGATAAATTCTTTTCCCCTCTTTTGGCCTTTTACCCTTACTGGTAAAATATGGGGTCCTGACTAGATGATCTCTGAGGGCCCATGGAGCTCTAACATTCAATGGCCTGTGAACAGTTAGTAAACTCATGCAATATTAATTCTGCTGACAGATAATCCCAGCTTTTCACACCCATTGTACTTTGCTTTCATCCATGTTTCATGCCTCCAAAATGGACTAATGAATATCATTTCTCATTTTCCTGTATTCTTTTATCTATTGTTTAAGAGTGGTACATCAAGGTTAAAACACATAAAAAGCACAGTTGGAACACTGAGAGAAAGAGATTCCTGAAGCCCCATTTTGTGCTAATAAACTGGCAATTTGAAAATTTTTCATGGGTCTTCAATGCACATAAAGTGCTCTGATAGTTGTCAACAAAGTGACAAGTTGGCCCCTTGAAAGATAAGGCAAAGAAACATTGGCTTAACAGCACTTACTGGCTTTCTAGTAGCTTTTATTTAGTCAGATATTAGTAGATACTTGCTTAGGTCTTTTGAATAAATTTAGAAGATATGGGAAAGTGAAGGAAAAAAGTTAAATTGGGTTTATCTTGGAAAATGTAGTCAGCAAAAGTAGTAGCATCTTGCAACAAAAACAAACTGGTATTAAGTATTTATAAGAATAGTATAAGAGCAGCATTAAAAATCAATGATATGAGTTTGAATACCTCTGTTTGCCACAGTAAATTTATTGGAAAATCAGCCATTGACTAAAACTTTCTTGGCCAGTTCTAGGAGGTCCCGGCCAAATTGCCAGCCCATATTCCTACTTCCACAAGCTAGTCTAAGAAGGCAAACAACATGATTACTTGTTTAAATTGATGTATACTTTTGCAAACAAACAGAAAAAATCACCCAGAATATAGTAGCTACATTGCTTTAAGAAAATAAAATATCCTCCGAATGTCTTTTTGGTACCCTCTGAAAGGTTTTTAAGTTTTTAGTAATACTGCAGACAGTCATTCAGCAGTTTGGTCTTCTCTGGGGAGAAAATGAAAAGAAAATGTAGAGGTGGAGATAAGCTGGATTTGAGAAATTGAATTATTTGGAAGTAGAATCATCAAATAATGATAAAGCATGTGTTTATTCTGAAATTTAGTTTGAAATCTTGAGTAGACTACCAGTTTGGGACTGTTTCTGATCTGTCCTCTCTGCCTTCATGATTGATATCCCTTAGAATATGATCATGATAAGAGACACTAACCAGA